GGGTTTGAGCTTTTAGGGAGGGTTGAAAATGCACCACTGCAAATGAAAGGATGCATTTGGTAGTGAACACTTAGAAGCCAAATTCATAATTGAGATCAATGTCCAAAACATCTGCTAGCTCTGTATCAACAATGACGCCACAAAAAAGGCAACAAGTGGCAGCTGTACAAAAAAAAAAACAAAAAAAAAAAAAACAGAAATTACAAGCTGTGGGAGAAGTCTGAACTCACTCCTGAAGGCAGATAAATCATACAATGCCAGTAAAAATGAGATGCTTCTCTCTACTGCAGCGTGTTTAAAGGATTTTTAAATTACATAACACAATCCAGTGCCCATGTAACATCTTCCTTTTATAAAGGCCAGCGGCCCCTTTCATATTTTTCCTGCCTTGAAAAACAAAAAAAAAGAAGCTAATTTTAATTACTCTATATACCGATGAGTCTATCAGCATTATTTGTCACTAGATTTTTCTTTCATTAACCTAAACCTGAAAATTTAAAAATCTTTAAAATAAACGCCCCCACCCAGCGTTTCTATAGCCAAATAGCAGAAAATGTACATTTTCTGTCAGAGGTACATTCTGTCGGGTCTCTCTCATCCTGTTTCTGTCTGTCTGACTCACTTTGCTCGAGTGAGGTCAGCAGCTGTGACTCCACCGTCAGCAACAGCCTTCACCTGGGCAAGAGCAGCCTTGATCACCTGCAGAGAAGAGTGAAACAGTGCTCTCAATAGCAGTTTCATTTGGGGGGAAAGAAAAGAAAAATTATTTTCAAGACTACGGGGCATACTCACATCACCGGCAGCTGCAGCCTGAGAGATGGTGTAGACCCCAAACAGACCAGAGTCAGAGTAGCTTGTATTGAAAGCAGTGACCTGGTGTGGGAGACGAAGACTGAATTAGAATAAAGCTGGATTGTGTTTTTGTGGTTAATGTGCAGACACACTGCTCTGTAGGCGTATGGCTTATTTACAATTTATCTTACAAAACTGAAAGGCACTCACATCAAAGGGGTCTGCTGTTGCCTTGGAAACACCCTGGACCAGTTTACTGGTGACGCCTGCTCCTCTCTTGACGTGCGGCCCAGCTCCCAGTAAATGCTGCAGCACACTGAAGGCCAGAGCCTCGCTGGTGCCTGCTGCTGCTGACTGGCTCACCACGGCTGAATGGACCAGACTCCTGGTGCTGGGCAGGCGAATCTCACCTGGAAATGGGCACGAGGTCATGAGACAGGGAAGTCTGCAAGGTCTATCAATTTCTCAGGTCGAAATCATTCATTCAAAATTTGCTTAAATCCTATATTTTTTCCTTTTCCTTCCCCCTCTCAGCCAGCTCGCCTCACCTCCACGATACTGTGCCTTAGCCCCTGTGGTGCCGGCTCCACTGCGGATGTTGAGGAACTGCTCTCCCACTTGCTTCAGCACAGTGTGGTCAACACCTAGTAGAAAGGTAAGCATTGTTATCGTTTATCCAAAATCTGGCTACTTCTTTCTTTATATGGAAAATACTTTAAATCCTAACACTTACCAAGTCCAACAAGGGCCATTCTTGCACTGGTGAAATTGTTCTGGACAAACTGGTGCAGCTGGGGAAAAATGGAAACATTGCAATAATTCATAATTGTTTTAGTTTGTACGTTTCGTACTGATAAAAGACAAATAAAAATATATACTCACATGCTCAGAGTGGATGTCGTTGATCATGTGGTCTGGGCAGTACAAGGAGTTACACAGGGCGTTCTTGTAGGCAGCTTCATGCAAACCTTCAACCACACCTGAAAAAGATGGATGGGTGACTGTTAGCTGCAGCACACTCATGGTGAAGAAAAAACAGAGAGAACATTACTGTCCCTATATGACAGTTTGGTATCTAGGCTCTACAGGGTAATTATTGATTAATCGAACAACCAAGAAGCTTTTTAAAATATTAATCAGGCTCACAGTTGGGAATATAAATTAAGTAGTTCTATATTAAAACAACAGATCCCTTAAAAATCTTTCAAAAAACTGAGTGTTGTAAGAGAAACAAAGGACCCACCTATCTGGGTGCTCTGTGCAGCTTGTGCCTTGTCCACCTTTACTTTTGGGGTGAGGTCTGACACCTCCCACGAACGGAATTCGGGGGCTGTTGTCACATTGATCAAATACTCCATCACTGTGTCACTAGAGACCAATAATAGAGCAAGCGGGAAAAGACAGTTATCACTCCTGCAACATCACATCTCAGAGCATTCATATGTTCCAGTGAATGTAGTCATTTCAACAAAATATGGAAAAGTGTGTAAATAGAAAGAGACAAAGTTCTTTAAGTATCTCCTAGTACTTCAAACATTTTCATTACATTATTATTACTATTACTCAATCATGTCAACACACATCATACACACAGGTGATATGCAGAGACTCACACGTCATCTCTTAAGCAGTCAACGGTGTAGGTCATATTCTCTCTGGATGAAGTCACGCTGCACAGAAATAAACAGATATGCAATTAGACACCTAAAAAAAAATCAGCATTAAATGACTGTTTACAAGATAAACCTTTTAGTTACTGACCTAAGACTGCCTCCCACTGCCTCAATTCCACGGCATATCTTGAAAGCTGAAGCTCCCTTGGTTGTCTGAAAAGGTAGAAAAGATAAGTAACATGTCAACTGAAATGCAGCAATGTTACACACGATTAAAAAAAGCAGTGGTCTTAAGCTCCATTTATTAACAACAGTTGTGCAGGCTTTTTAATATGTAAACACTGTTATATTTCTAATCAAAATAAGACTTTTACCTAAAACTGAATAAAGATTTGGTTTGTATTCTGGTGCTTCTGCAGCTTTACTCATTTCTGTCTTTCAACAACACCAAAGAACCAAGGTTGATGATGACAATGGTTACTTCAAGCTAAATGTGATGATTTTTTTTAAGTTACATACCAGACCGGACGCCAGCCGGAGGAGGTGGGTGACACCCTGGTTTTCAGGGGTTTCATAGCGACACCCAGCCTTGATGAAGACTCCAATTTTGGAGGCTGGAGAATAATTCTCCAGTGAAGCGATAACCAGCCCACTGGGCAGCCTGGTCACCTGGAGACATATAGAGATGTCCTTTAGCATTCTTAGTACCCTGAGTTATAGGCAGTGATTCAGTTAACTGGTTTCCTTGGCTTTCATTTATACAGCTCAGATAATGCGGGCATTTAGTTAGATTACTTAACATTTATATTCAGCAAGGTGAAACAAACAGATAAAGCTTAAAACACAACCAATATATACTACAATTCTCATAACTGCCCAACATACGTGGACATCCTGGTAGGAATGGCCAACCCTGGGAGAGAGGCTGAGGCCAGCCAGGGGCTGAGCAAGGGACTGGTCTTTTCTAGCAGCCGCATAGAAGCGTTTCTGCAGAGAAGAAAAAGAAGTCAACAACCACTGACCTGAACATCCTGTGGATGAAAACCAGTGACCTCCACCTTACGGGCAGCCTGGGCTGCATAAAACCTTGTCTGGGGGAAAAAAAAACAAAGAATACAGGAAGGCAGGACATTACAACTAATGTTTTGCTGGCCTTTTGGCTGATATGAGCACAAACTTTAAAATAATGGGATCAATGGCATTAGTAGGGCAGCCTGTACTAAAAGAACTGAATGTTGTGACTAAATATGAAGCTAGAATTATGCAGGTGAAAAAATAATCTTATGACAAGGCCCACTTAAGTCTCTGTTCTGCATTTTGTTTAAGCATATCACCTGGTTTTAATCTGCAGGTCAATTTTTCCAAATTATCTTTGAAGGTATCAAGGATTTGTAAGATTGTAATGTACTCTGAAGTGTAATAACAACCTCTATATGGTTCTTGGTGTGTTCCATCAGAACGATGGCAAACAACATTACAAGCCTTTAACGACAAATGTGAAAAAGTAAGAACTTATCTTTTTAAAACTAGCTACAATCTACCATTTCAGGCTGCAAAGGTTCTCACTCAGTAAACACACATAAGTGTAGATGTTTACTGCAAAATCCAAACTGCAATAATTGCACAATATTGCAGATAAGAAAGAGGAAGATATAATTAGATAGTAAAATGGAAATGTAAGTTAAGCAACTCGACGGCTAGGTCCTTCATAAACATGAACCTAGCTAGCTCTCATCTCTCAGACGCCAACTAGTTTGATTTCTCTAAGCCTTACTTGAATTAACTGAATAGACAATATTAAGATGGGTGTACAATGACTTAAAAATCCGCAGGGTTCGTGATGTAACTAGCAGGTTATTGCTGGTTATGCTCGGAGTCATTCATGACCAGACTTAGTTGACTGCTTCCTCGTCTGCTCTTCATCAAAGCCTGCCCGGACACGACCCGGAATTTAGACACCGTCTAACAAACACAGCCCACAGCTCGGTGTGCAAATGTTCCGACACACAGACACGTAGGACACATTGCCCGAGTCCTCACCGATAACTGACTGATTCCCCGAATCCCCTTCATCTCCCCTCTTGCCTTGGGTCAGGACGATAAAGCAATATGGCTGGCTTCAAAGTGCCCTACCCAGAATGCTCAGCGCTTTCTTCGCTTGTAAAAGGTGCGTCTGCCTAGTCAGTGACCGCGCGCCCTCTGCTGCCCTGGAGATAAGATAAAATAAAATAAAATAAAATAAAATAAAATATTTTTTCATTGGACCAGAAGTTATGTAAACGAATGTTGAATGTGGAGCTGCCAGGCAGGAGGATAAAATGAAAACCACATGCGGAGGGTTGCTGTGAAAGAAAAGAATGTTGCCAGGCACAGGCAACTTTGGCACAGGGAAGATGTGCTGAACACTGAAGGGAGCAGCTGAAGGGAAAAGAAAAAAAATCCGTGTATTTATTTTAAAAGGTATTTGTTGTTCAATAAAAAATGTAATCCCTTTCCATGTCGGCTTTTATTTGGTTAAAAAAACATGAAAGCGACTTGTTTCGTTGTATTTTCACATTTATTAACTTTTTTTTTCTCCCAAAGCACTTCCTGTGATTTCGCCAGCTTTGCCAGTGCGCATGCGCCTCACACCACACGTGTGGCAAACGTTTGGACTCGTTGCATGCGACGGAGCTTAGAGAGTTGGTATCGCTGTAAAATACATCACAGGAGATCGCATTTTGCATCGTATCGTTAATCTTTCAGAAGCCAGTCGAATTAAAATAGTCCTCCGTGAAGCATTTCGCCGAGAGGGCCGGAATAGCACAAAAACACCATGGTGAGTGTCTTCTCGAGCGAACAAGCTAACAGAGTAGCTAGTTAGCTACCAGCGAGCATAGTAAATTAAGTGCAGAATTCAGTAGAAGTGACCAGAAACAGTGCTGGTGACTATTTTTTCCCCGTTAACTGGTTTCTCTTGGTTAACATGGAGTTACTTTGTTTCTATGTGGTGAGCAGACTGAAGCACAAGTCAACCCAAAGGCCTACCCGCTGGCCGATGCCACGCTGACCAAAACTATCCTGGATCTGGTGCAGCAAGCCTCAAACTATAAGCAACTGAGGAAGGGAGCCAACGAAGGTGGGTAAACACAACGTGCCGTGCGACACGGTCGGTGCATATTAATATTTAAGTTGTTAATGAATGCATTTGAGTGGACAGGCGACACCAGCATGCTCGAAACGTGGTTTCTCTTCACTTAAAACAACAAGCTTTAGTCACAAGCCTCTGGTTTCTGCATGAATGGAATGCCTGCGAGAAGAAAAATAACTTTTAGTATTGTTTACACAGATAATTGTTAAGTTACACCATAGCTGTCTTCCTGTGGAGGCTAATGATTAGCCAATGTTGAGTGCTTTTATTATATGAATTACTAAGTGCTTGTGAAAAATGTGTTAAACAGACACTTGTATTTTTGTTGTGGGCCACAAAAAGAATAACGGTGCAGCAGTAATGAAGGGCACTTTTTCTTGTGTAACCTGTAATATGCTGAGCATTGTTTTGTTTTGTTTTTTGTTTCCAAGAACAAACTTGCTGTATTCAAGTTGCTCTTTCTTCCCCAGCCACTAAAACCCTGAACAGAGGCATCGCTGAGTTTATCGTGATGGCTGCTGATGCGGAACCACTGGAGATCATCCTCCACCTGCCGCTGCTCTGCGAGGACAAGAACGTCCCCTACGTGTTCGTCCGCTCCAAGCAGGCCTTGGGCCGGGCCTGTGGGGTGTCGCGCCCCGTTATCGCTACCTCAGTCACTATAAAAGAGGGGTCTCAGCTCAAGCCACAGATCCAGTCTGTTCAGATGGCCATTGAGAGACTGCTTGTGTGATTTTTCTTTCACTGACAAAAACTCCTTGAGGGGAAAAAAAAAACCAATTTAAAAAAGGCCGGCCCTTGGTTGAATAAAAAAGAAGGGGGAAAATCATGTTTAATTGTGTTTTTGTTTTGTTTCTTGCTTTTTGGGACCGATGTTTCTCATCAGGAGTTTGTAGTAGCCCTGCTCACTTCTTAATAAAATAATTCTTTTTGTTATTTTTTAAAACCTGGTCTTGTGTTCATTAAAAAAAAAAATTCAAGATGAGTTCAAACAAAGTGATTCCCAAATGGTTAGTAACAGAAAACGGGGCGTATCTCTGCATGGTCTGATGTGTGTCAAAGAAAATAGCAGATGAGGACTATCTGAAAATCATGTCCTTGAGAGACCTGACCAAGGACCTGAGAGATGCATCTATTCTTCACTGAAGCCTTATCAGAAATGGTCTCAGTGGAAGGAAACATGGAGAAAAGGCTGAGGTACACCAGGTTACAGAAACACTGGGATGGAAATCGGTGGCAAACAAGTCATATTTAGTGATGGCTTTGAAATGTTTGGTTCAAACTGTCTTCAGCATGGCAGAAGTCAAGCAGCCTTGACAACTATTCTCAAAGACTACTTAAAGAAATGACAGGCAAACTATCCTAAGAGAATTGAAAGAATAAATGTGGTCATACCAAACACTGACCCAACAAACTGTTTTTGCTGTATATGCTGTAATTCTGTATGTTTTTGCATGTGTTTTGATAAATTGATCACCTCTTTCCAATTTTTTCTGGCTCAAAACCTTTGTACAGTACTGTATAAAACACGTTCTTACACTGATCACTACATCAAAATGTTAATTACAATTTGTTTTCTTTTTTTTGCATCAGGATAAATAATCAGTCGGGAAACATTCTCAAAAGCACGGATGTAAATTGTCAATTAAAAGTAATGAATTCATAATTCCGAATTTCTACAGTCATACAAATACTAACAACTGTGGAAGTCAAAGGACTTACAAACCTTCTAGGGGGCGTGAAAGCAGCATCTAGCTGGCCCCGTTACTGGTTATAATCTGAAGACAGGACATTGTTTCGCAATCGTTTGCGTAGAAACTGCAACACTTAAACACGGATTAAGTGGGTATCAACCTGAGATTGGCTTGTTTGAATACTTTCTCCCCTTAAACTGGTGCCAAATCACAGACTACGGGAGCCTGGCGCTTGGAAAGCGCAGTGGATTATACAGCCTCCTCTGTGCGTCCCGCCTCTCTCCGCGCAACATGTTTAAAAAAGCTTTACTGCGGCTCTTGAACGCAGCTCAAATCCCGCTCGATGTTGACTCAAATTTTGAACCAAACCAGTTAAGTCAGTTCCGCATCAGCGTCTCAGAAGCAGCAGCCATGGCTGGGGCTCCTCCTGTTATCATATGGGAGCGTGAAGTTGAGAGCCTGTTGCATTACAAAGAGCTGATCCCCCGTCTGGAGGAGGCTTTAGGTAAGTTCTCCAGCCGGGACAGCGCGGAGGTTATCCAGCCTGTGCGCTCCACGGTGCCCCTGCAGAAACACAACGGGTAAGGCCCTCCGTCTGCTTCAAGAGAGCTTCAGCACAAATCAACCATTAACAGGGTGCAGCTACTGCTGGTTGAAACTCGCTCTCGTTTCTAGGTTTCTGGGGCTGATGCCTACATACATGGAGAATGACGGAGTCCTGTCCACAAAGTTAGTGTGCTTCTACAACAGGGGGGCTGGCTCCACTTTGCCATCAGTGTCAGCCACAGTGTTGCTGCTGGATCCCGAGTCCGGGCATATGAAAGCTGTGAGTTCAATCCCCGCATGCACCTGTCTTTCTGATGGCTTTGGTTTTATGAGCTGCAGTCTCATGCTTCCAACCCGCAGGTCATGGATGGAGAGGCAATCACTAACATGCGTACTGCTGGAGCTTCAGCAATCTCGGCTAAGGTACTTCCGCTCTCGATTTATTCACAGCATGCCTTTTCTATTCTGGAAATCCTGCTGTAGCTCTGAACTTCTGGGTCTGCCCTGGTGTGTCATGCAGCTGCTGATGCGCCATGGAGCCGAGGTTCTGGCCATCTTGGGGACCGGCCAACAAGCCCTGAGTCACTATAAAGCCTTCACTGAAATGCTTTCATTTAAAGAGGTATGCTTCCAAAAAATATATTTATTTTAGAGAACATGATACGTTAAGTACAGCATACTATTACATATTTATTAAAGAATAAGAAGCAAGTGCAACGTCTGCCCCACTAAGAGGCTTGTTTGCTGCAGGGGTTTTCATTTATTTATTTTTTCATTTAAAGAAATCTGTGCAACATAAGGGACCCCAGACTTTTGCACAAAACTGAACATACTGTGAGTTACCTGAAGGATGTCGGCTCTTATTAAATGTGCAAAATGTGTGACAGCACAGCTTGCTGAGCTCCGTGGGGCTGACAGAGAGGGACAGTAGTAAGCATGTGCACAAAGCATTCCTTTGAGCAGTCCCTGCTGCCGGCCTGCTAGCAGTGTCGGTGAGAAAGGGATAAAAATGTGTTCTATATTTTGCCAGATGTCGGTATTTAAAATGATCTCTGACCAGTAACAGTAGCAGCAGTACCTGAACATTGTATAAATGACCCATACATTCATGTTAAAGGAAAAACCAATAGTCTTTTGACGTGTGCCACCAGAACACTCTTAATGCTCTTTAGCATTAATTCTCCAGGTATTTGGAGCTGTTCTTTAGAGATAAGTACCATTCCTCCAGAAGATATTTCCTTATGTGGTGTTTTCTATTATAGTGGTAGAGAGTGCTGTGTAAAATGTTGGTCCAAAATGTCCCATTCAGAGTACCGAAATGTGCGCTGCTTTTTGGTCTGGTTACTACCGTTTATGTCAGAACCGGATACCGGTACCCATCCCTACTGCTGAATAAAGAAATCACTTACACAGAACTTCTGTGACAAACTGAAGCAGGCTTAAAAGATTTTAAAAAGTAACACAACAGCTGAGAAACAAGATCAGTGACATCTATGAGTCTGGAAAGGGTTGAAAAACTATTTCTAAGAAGCACCAAAATTGGGACTCTAGTGAGCCACAGTGAGAGCCATTATGCAGAAATGGAGAAAATTTCCTTTCCTGGAGTGGCCGGCCTACCAAATTACTTCAAAAGCACTTTGAAGACTCATGCAGGAGGTCACAGAAGAGCCCAGAACAACATTTAAAGAACTGCTGGGTTCACTTGTCTCAGTTAAGGTCAGAGTTCATGATTCCACATTAAGAAAGAGACTGGGCAAAAATAGCATCTATGGGAGAGATCCAACATGAAAACCACTGCTGACCAAAAAGAAAAGAAAGGCTCGTCTCACATTTGCCAAAAACATCTTGATGATTCCCAAGACACCTGGGAAAATATTCTGTGCACTGACGAGAGAAAAGCTGAACTCCCATTAGTCACATGTAATGGGACTCAAACCTTGCCATAAAACTCAAAGCATTTCATAAAAAGAACATCAAACCAACAGTCAAACATGGTGATGTCAATGTGATGATCTGAGGAGGCTTTGCTGCATCAGCACCTGGTTTCCTTGATGATTCCAGGATGTTCTTGCTTTAGCAGAAAATCCTGAAGGAGGACGTCCAGTTATCAGTTCATGCCCTGAGCTCTGCAGCAGGACAATGATCTGAAACACACCAGCTAGTCTACCTCTGATTGGCTCAATAAACAGAAAATTAAGCTTTGGGAGTGGCCTAGTCAAAGACCAGACTTAAATCAGATTGAGATGTTTTGACAGGACCTTAAACAGGCCATTCAAGGCAAACAAGGGGACAATTACATTTTCACACAGGGCCAGGTAGGTTTGGATATTTTTTATCCCTTAATAAATTAAATTACTTAAAAACTGCATTTAGTATTTACTCAGTTACTGATCACAGCTATATTAATGCATTAACTGCACCAACTAATCAAAGATTTGTTGGTTGTTTCGCTTCCCCTGAAACTTCATTTCAGGTACGGGTGTGGAACCACAGAAGGGAGGGAGCGGAGAAGTTTCGCCGCTCAGTTGGCGGTCCCGTGACGGTGTGCGGTTCAGTGGAAGAAGCAGTGAGGGGAGCGGATGTAATAGTAACAGTAACCAGGTCTATAGAGCCAGTGCTGTGTGGCCGGTGGGTCAAACCAGGGGCCCATGTGGCAGGTGAGAAGTAATTCACCCACAAAATATTTTAAGGGAAGTGGGGGAGATTTTTTTTTACATTGATGGTTATGCAAAACTGAGGAAACAGATGGAGCGTTTTTTTACCAGTTACTACAGAAAATAATTTTAAAAAGAAAAACAGTTTCTCTACTTTTCCTCTAACCAGCGGTGGGAGCTTGCAGGCCAGATTGGCGGGAGCTGGATGACTCATTGATGAAGGAGGCTGTGGTGTATGCTGACAGCAGGGAGGGAGCAATGGCCGAGTCCGGTGATGTCATCCTCTCTGGGGTCAGTGTGTCATCTCCTGTTATGCTTACAGGTCAGTGTGTGTGTCACTGGCATCTTATGTGAGGAAGAATATTACAGCGTTTGTGCCGTTTGCAGGTTGAGGTGTTTGCAGAGCTCGGAGATGTTATTAATGGGATCAAACCTGCTTACAGAGAGAAGACCACTGTGTTTAAGTCCCTTGGTAAGTCTCACTCTTTAAAGCCACACAATCTGGCCTCTACTTCATGTTTTCATCTCATTAAGAAATTTAATGCTTTGAAAATGTCTTTGTTTTTTTAATAACAGGAATGGGAGTTGAAGATGCAGTGGCTGCTAACCTGGTATACGAGCAGTGGAAAGCCAAAGCCTACAAACTGTGAAGCGGCCATGTACTTTTAACCTTTACACATCACACAAATGACCAAGAATGAAGCCATACAAGAACAATTATCAGGGAGCAAAAGAAATATGTCTGGCCTTTCCTCAGAGCTTATTTTAATATTAAGTTTAGCTGTTAGCCGATGAATCACAAAGTCAGGGTAGGGAAGAAAGCAGATAACTGACTTAAGTGATATCGAGGAACCTGAACAAATCTACAACTGCACGAGTTAAG